TAAGTAGAATGAAAAATGAGATGTATATTGATTGATTATGTTTGTGGCAGCAAAGGTTGCCATAGATGTGAGGAAGTTGTGAATCATATTTGGAAATTCAAGTTTGAACTGAGAGGTAAGCATGCAAAGTGTCTACAATAAGCTTTGGTTGGTTAAAGTGTAAATATTGTGTGATAAATACTTGTAAGTAATGTTGAAAAAAAATATGAGATTTAGTTAATGATTATTGGTTGATATGCTACCATTTATGAGTATAATTAAATGTATTGGATTTGAATGATTGCTAGGGAGAGGGTAAGTAAGAAAAGTTTACCATGATGGCATGATGGATGAGATAACGAGAGACCGACAAGTAGAAATTAGTTATATACGTGCTTGAATCAATAGTGATGTAGCGTTCTGCTATTGTATGGTGAGTAAAGGGTGTTCATTTTAAAATTTACTTGATTAGATATATATATATATATATATATGTGTGTTGGTTTACCTTAAGCTCAAAAATTATGAAAAGCATGAGCTGGTAAAAATGCTAAGAGATTGTGAATGTCTTAAAGTTTGAAAGTGTTTTGACTATATATGTGTATAGTTATATTCATAAAAGATTTTAAAATCGAGAAACAAGCTTTTCAATACAATTTATATCAAAATGTGCCTTATTGATTGTGTGATGTGCATTCATAAATGAATTTCATGCTCACCATGCTGATTTGACATCTAAACCTCATTCAAAAGGTTTTACATTGCAAAGTGTTACAAAAAGGGTTTTTAGTGTGCTACCATGATCGGTATTTTGAAAATAATTTGAAATGATCCTTTGAAAATTTGATTTGACTTTTAAGTGGTTTTATCAAACTAGGAGATTCGAGAATAAGTCGGTTGTCACTTCTGTTAAGTGTGACCCTTGTGTGTCAAGTGAGCTCTAGCTAGAGAACCTTTGGGTCGTCGACGGGCTGTTAGACATGGCTAGGGCCATGGTCTGTGATATACGTGGCAAGGCCATGGGTTGCTATATGTGGCTAGGCCACAAGTGATATTAGTAGTTGCGACCGCTTTATTTTTTGATGTTAGCCAACATCTTCGAGACTACCATAGCATGTGAGAATCTGGTGGAGCAGTGCTCCCGGATTGTTATTACGTGGAAGTGGGTCCATAGGTTGATATTTACGATTTCTTACTCGATAGTGATATCTTTTTGGGTTTTCAAACATTGCTTTTTTCGCATGGTGAGAAATATTAGTTTTTCCACCACTCCCCTATTTGATTAAAAGCTTTCAGTGCTTTAT